CAGACCTGCTGAGTTTTTCCAGCAACTTTGTTTTTGTTTTGAGTATAGGAGTTGGGATGTCATGTTGCGGTTGTACAGGACATTGGTGATGCCATTTTTGGAGTATTGTATGCTGTTCTGGTTGCCCTGCCATAGGGACGATATTATTAAATTGGAGAGGGTTCAGATGAGATTTACCAGGATGTTGCTAGGAATGGAAGGTTTGAGTTGTAAAGATAGGCTGGGACTTTTTTTTTGCTGGTGCGTAAGAGGTCGAGGGGTGACCTCTTAGACGTTTATAAAATAATGAGGGGCATAGATATGGTGAATAGCAAGGGTCTTTTCCCTAGGGTGGGAAAATTCACAACTAGGAGGCATATTTTTAAGGTGAGAGGAGAAAGTTTTAAAAAGGACATGAGGGGCAACTTTCTTACGTAGAGAAAGTGTAGTTAGTGTTTGGGATGAACTGTCAGAGGAAATGGTGGGACCAGGTACAATTCCAACAATTAAAGGACATTTGGGTAAGTACCTGAATAGGAAAGTGTTGGAGAGATGTCGGACAAATGCAGGCAAGTGGGACTAATTTGGTTTGGGAATGTGGTTGGCGTGACTAGTTGGACCGAAGGGTCTGTTTCCATGCTGTATGACTATGAAACTGCCCAAAGTGACACCAAATGTAGAAGTCAATCTATCTGAATGCTCAACAAATGCATCTATGACCTGAATTATACTTCAATGTTTAGTCTTTTTCAGTGAGGTCTAATTCACTAAAAATTGATTGCGTTTGATACAAAGTAATCCTACAATATTTCATAGGTACTATTAAAATAAAAATTTCAGGCATCTTCATGGTGCATATTGATGACACTGCAGAATTTGATTAGTGTTTCATTATAAAGACCACGGCAGAATATAAAATTGGTAGACTTTTAGGACCCTTCAGTATTTAGATATTAAGCTAAGTAAATCAACAACCTGATATAGGGAGTGTTATTCTAATCCTGGTTGACTATACTAGGTCAACACAAAAAAATGATGTTGCATCAGAAGGACTAGTTGCGAAGCTTGGTTGGATATTTGAACTAGTGCACTTGGGCTAGGCCTGATGCAAGTTACAGTTTAAAAAAAACAAAAGACTGGAAATGCAAAACAAGCTTCTGTAAAGAGAAACAGAGTAGACATGTCAGGTTAGCAAAATGAGTTTTGAAGAATTTGAATTAATCATTTAAGTGAAGCATTCCAAAGCAGTGATGTTTTAAAGGCAAATAAAGCATTATGAAAATCAAATCTAGAAAGATAACCATTTAAGTTCCATTTTAAAGTGACCCAAATAACATGAAACAAGTTATCTTTAGTAATGCTTCAGATGTTACAAAAACAGAAATTGCTGGAAAAGCACAGTAGGCCTGGCAGCATTTGTGGAGAGAAGCTGGAGTTAATGTCTTGGGACCGGTAACCCTTCCCAGAAGGTTTTCCAGCAATTTCTGTTTTTGTTTCTGATTTACAGCATCCGCAATTCTTTCTGTTTTCGCTTCAGATGTTAAACTTCCTAATGGGTATTCTTATGTAGCTGGTTTCATAGTACCTTTTATTGGTGAAAATATTAAATATTGTCGTATTAACCTAGGAAGGTAAGAAAATAAAAAAAAGTTACTAAAAATCATTCTTCTCATAAGATCCAGTCAGGGAAATGCTCTAACTGCTGAAACATGTTTTGTAGATTCAATGGAGATAATATTCCTTAAAATATTTGCCAAGTAGATCTTGGGAATACTAATGATAATATATTCAATGAATGTTTTATAGATAATCACTTATTGTGTAATAATGCACACTTTCTTCAGAAAATGTGTAAGAAAAGGTTATGAATTGATCATGCCAATTTTGAACTACTGCCTGAGGAAAAGGAAATCTCTAAAATTAAATGGGTTAATTCAAACCATCAGTGGCTGGATTGTTTTACTAAAAGAATTGCATGGATAAAGAAATGTACAAGGGAAGATGGTGGTGTATAAAATCTGGAATATTAAACCAGACTTGCTAATGTTGACTATGACAAGGATCATAGGCTAGCTATTATAAAAATGCATATTGTCTATCAATGTCATTTTTATAGACATCATCCATCTTTCCCTGATCTGGCCTATATGTGACTCTAGACCCAGAGCATTGTGGTTGACTGTTAATTGTCCTTCCTTCATTCAAGGGAAACTAGAGATGAGCAACAATGCCCATATCGCATGAATTTTTTTTAAAAATTAGGAGTGCCAGAGGGGGGTCATCTTGCAACGCAACGCTTTATACAGAAAATTTGTGTTGAGTTTTAAATTAATATTGTATGTAGAAGAATCTCTAAGGTTTTGGAGTAGATTTGTAGCTCGGGTTGTGGGTGTTGAGGTTAGTTGGCTCGCCGAGATGGTTTGTTGTTTCACAGACGTTTCGTTACCGTGCTTGGTAACATCCTCAGTGCAGCCTCTAATGAAGTGTCAGTGTGTTTTCCCACCTGGCTTTTAAATTCAGGTCCGTTGCGATGGCTTGCCTCACTTCCGGGTTTCCTCCGTAGTGGAATGTATATGGGGTCGAGTTCAATGTGTTTATTAATAGCCTGCTTCGTGGAGTGCCATGCTTCCAGGAATTCTCATGCTTGTCTCTGTCTAGCCTGTCCCAGGATCTTGGTGTTGTCCCAGTCAAAGTCATGGTTCTCCTTGTCCATGTGGATTGAGATGAGTGAGTATTGGTCATGTCTTTTTGTAGCCAGTTGGTGTTCATGTACTATTGTTGTTAGTTTCCTTCCTGTTTGTCTGATGTAGTGTTTCTCGCAATCTCTGCAGGGGATCTTGTAGATGACATTGGCCCTGTCCATGGCGGGGAGTGGGTCTTTAGTTCAGGTGAGCACTTGTCGTAGGGTTGATGTGGGTTTGTGTGCCACTCTGATGCCCAGCGGTCGTAGAAGTCATGTAGTGAGTCCTGATGTAGGGTAGTGTGATGAGTGTGTCGGGGCGTATAGAATCTTTCTGATGCTGTTCCTGTAAGCATCTCCTGACCCAGTTCTTAGGTTGGATTTGTGGAAGGGCGGTCCTTTCCAGTCTTTGCATCACTGCTTCTGCTATGAGTCCGGAGATAGGCGATCCCATGGATGTCCCATTGATTTGCTCGTATGTTTGGCCGTTGAAGGTGAAATGGGTGGTCAGGCATAGGTCCAGTAGTTTAAGCATGTTGTCCTTGGAGATGGTTTCACTGGGGTCGTGTCCTTGTTCAAGTAGTATTGTCATTGTTTCCCTTGCTAGTGGTATGTCTATTGACGTGAATAGGGCGGTGACATCAAACGATATCATGGTCTCTTCGTCCTCTATCTTTATGTCTTTGATGGAGTTGAGGAATTCTTGGGCTGAGTGGATGGAGTGGGGTGATTTGTTGACTAGGTGCTTGAGTCTTCTTTGTAGTTCTCTGGCTAATCTGTGCGATGGAGTGCTGGTAGGGAGACTATGGGTCTGAGGGGTCTTCCGGTTTGTGCACTTTAGGGAGGCCGTAGAATCGTGGTGTGTTGTTTCCTTCGGGTTTCATTCTTAAGAAGTCTGCTTTGTTGATCTGTCCTGTTTGTTTAAGTCTTTGTAGCGTCTATAGGATATTGTTGCCTAGTTGTGGTGTCGGGTCAGTTTGTACTGGCCAGTATGTGTTCTCGTCGGCGAGCAGTGCTTGTGCTTTGGCGATGTAGTCCTTTTTATTCATTATCACTGTCATGCTCCCTTTGTCTGCAGGTAGTACAGTGATGTTCTTGTCCTTCTTTAATCTGTCCAGGGCTTGCCTTTCCCGTGTGTTGAGGGTGTTGAGTTCTCTCTTTCTGGTTAGTGTCGGGACTACCGTCTGTCTTATAGTTTGTTGTGTTTCCTCGTTGATATTGTTGGTCTTGAGCGTGGCTTCCAGTGTAGCTAGCCATTCCATTTTGTTGGCATCCCTGTAGTTGTAGTTCAGTCCCCGGGTGAGAACGGCTTTTTCCGCGTCTGTCAGTTTCCTGTCGGAGAGGTTCCTTATCCATATGTCAGTTCTGTTGTTGTTGCTTTTGTGGGTAAATGTGGTTAGCTTGTCTTGCAGGGTCTGTCTTTTCTTGGCTCTTGTGGTCTGTTGACTGATGTTAATGGCACATTCCATGTCGGTTGTCCAGTCTTGATTGGTAGCTTCCTGGAATAACGTTTTTTGGCGCGTAATTTCTCTATTGTATTTGTGGAGCCAGCTGTGTGCGTCGTTTATCATTACCCTTACCATCTTGCGGCCGTTTTGTTCTGCTAACAAAAGAATCTGTTAATTGTATTCAAGTGAAGGACACTAATTGATGATTCAACTTTATAGGAGCAAGTCAAAAGTGTGGTTGTTGGTTGGATGTGATATGATGCCATGTGTATTTCTGTAAATAAAAACTTCTAAGAGTACAATGACTAGATTCCAGTGTTCCTTCCTTCAACATCTGGCTGTGTGAATTCTTAATATTAGAGATTTAATAGGAATATACCACTTTTGAGATACTCAGCCCACTGAATCCATGTCTGCTCTGTTTGGATTGCTATGCAGACTCCTTTCCAGGCAATATTCTACTAGTCCTGTAGGTTCTTTCCCTCGAGTGCACATTCAATTTCCTTTTCAAATAACTTGTTACCTTCACCTCCTAACCCTCATAGATATCAGGTTCCAGATCATTATCATTATCCACGTAACAAGGTTCTTTCACACTCCCCCAATGATGAGAGGAGCTTTTTAAAATTGTCAGGAAGATGTCGAGTTAGATGTTGGTCATTACAGCTGTTTAACAATTAAATGGGCATCTTGCTGCTCAGTAAATGCAGGTTTTTGGCATCTTGTAAAGATTGGTTTAGTAAGGCACTAAATTGTGTTTAGACTGTCTAAAAAGAAAGTTAACATGTTACTAAAATGTTTGAAAACACTTTTTAAGCAACTAGCAATAGATCCCCCACATGCATATGAATTCTCTTAATTCATTAATATTCCATGATCTCTTTCCCTCTCAGAATCCCGAGTTCAAACTATGACTACAGGGGCTCAGCCATCACCCACTAAGTCATACAACAGGATTGATCTCGATTCTGTGCAAATGTCAGTTGTTTCAGAAGCTGAGCTCACCAAGCCAAAAATTTGTGCAGCTAATTTACAACTGTCACAGACTGAGTGTGTGCAGATATTTTCAATAGGTAAGTGAATTCTTGATTTATGGTACTGTGGAGACCTGCTGGTAGAAATGATTCATATCACTTGATCTCTCACTGACAAAGTAGCAGTACAAAACCAATCCATCCAATTTTTATGACAACATAGGCCATAAGATTTAGGAGCAGAATTAGGCCATTCAGCTCATCAGGTCTGTTCTGCCATTCGATCACCATTCAACTCTATTTTCTTGCCTTCTCCCCATAAACTTTGATCCCCTTACGAATCAAAAACCTATCTATCTCTGCCTTAAATACACTCAATGACTTGAGTCATTGACTTTATTTAGACTTTATTTGGCTTCCTTGCTGAAAACATCATAATTGCTATAAACCTAATACATCCAGCATTGTAATTTAAGATCTCCATCTGGGGATGACTATAACTTACTCATTGCACCAGATTCATTTTTGGAGATATGTGGCTAGACGTAGTGTAGTGGATAATGCCTTGATGTATTTTTCTTAATTTGTTAGTTGATCAACTAATTAATATTTTGATTTGAGATGGGTGTTCATTGAAGCTATGTGAGCACCAGTAAGAATTTTCTTGTTTTTGATTTGTTCATGGGATGAGTGATTGCTAGCTAGGCCAGCATTTCTTGCCCATCTCTATGGTGATGAGCTCTGTTTTTCAACTGCTGCAGTCCTTGGGGTGTACGGACACTCTCAATGCTGTTAGGAAGGGAATTCCAAGGTTTTGACTCAGTGACAATGAAGCAACATTGATGACATTCAATGTCGGAATGATATGTAGCATGGATGGAAACTTGCAAGTGGATGTGTTCCAATGAATTTGCTGCCCTTATCCTGCGTAGCAGAGGTTATGGGTTTGGAAGGCGCTGTCAAAGGAGGCTTGATGAGAATCTTGTTAATGGTGCACACTCCTGCCACCAAGCATTGATGATGAAGGACAAATAATGAGGTGGTGGATGGGTTAATAATTGAGTGGGATGTGATGTACTGGATTGTGTCAAGCTTCTTGAATGTTGTTTAAGCTACACTTAGCAGGCAAATGAGAGTATTCCATCAATTCCTAACTTGTGAGTCGTATGTGGTGAACAAGCATTACAGATCTGAGTTGAGTTACTTCCACAGAACTCCTGATCGCTGACCTGCTTGTAGCCACAGTCCAATTCAGCTTCTGGTCAGTGATAATCCCAAAATGTGATTAATGGGAGATTCAGTGATGGTAATGCCAATGAATGTCAAAGGGGAGATTGTCATTCCTTGTCATTTGTATGACAAAAATGTTATTTTCTACTTGTGAGCCTAAGCCTGGATGCTGCCCAGGTTATGCTGCATATGGACATTAACTGCTTGGTATCTGAGGAATTGCAACTTCAGACCTTATGGTGGTGGGGAAGGTCATTAAAACAATTGAAGATGGTTGGGCCTAGGACGCTACTGTGAAGAACTCCTGTAAGGCTATTCTTGAACTGAGGTGATTGACCTCCCATGAGCCAAAGCCATCTTCCTGTGTGCTAGGTATGACCAGCATTTCCTCTAATTTTCTTAACAGTTGCTCAGGCCTCCAAGGCCCATGTGTGGCAACAACTTCCAGAACCAGATGTCAATGCCACAGTTGGCATGCTGACACTGATTGGTGTGCATGGAATATTGGAGTGGCTTTTGCTCCAGAACATTGCCATAGGAGTTCCCTAGGGTAGTGTGCTGGCATCAATCAACAGCAGCTGCCTCATCACTGGCCTTCCTGTGATAAGGTCAGATATGGGGATGTTCAATGATACATTACACCGTGTTGGAAATGTTCAGAACTCCGCAGGGACTAAAACAGTTCAGGTCCAAATGCAGCAAGATCTGGACAACATCCAGGCTTGAACTGATGTGTGATGTGAATGTTGCTGCCGCCAAAATGCCGGGGAATGACCACATCCAACAAAGAATCTTGACCTTACAAGAGTATTAGCATTGCTGAATCCCCCACTATCAACATCCTGGGTGTTACCATTAACCAGAAACTGAACTGGACAAGCCATATCTAATTAATGTGGCTGCAAAAGCATGAGAGAAGCCTGGAAATCTGCAGTCACTGACTTGCCTCCTCAGTCCCCACATTTATCCATCATTGGCAAGGTACAACTCAGTACTGTGATGGACTACTTTTCACTTGCCTGGATGAATACAGCTCCAACAGCACTCAAGAAGCATAACATCATCTAAGACACTTGGTCAGCTGCTTGACTGGCATCCCATTCACCACATTCAATATCCACTTCCTCTATCACTGGTGCATAGCCCACATACCACATATTGTTAGTTGGCAATGCATTATTGAAGTGCAGAAGGTTTCTGTAAGCGGATTGGAGATGTGCTATGAGGCCTGTTACTGGCTGGCTTGTGTTGGATGCCAATGTCCATAGATGTGGGGTGTGCGTGTCCCCCTGAGACGTTACTGCCCAGTTTCCAACATGGAAGTCATTTGGAGCTGAATCCACCAAATATCCATTCTAGTTTGCATGTCGAATTTTCTTTACGTCCAGTTTATTTGGTAAAATGGAAAGCTGAATATTACAAAGGTGTGCTAGACCATCACGAAGGTACTTCAAAATCAATAATCTCCCAAAATTTGGCAACTTGCCACAGCCTAGTGAGGAATCTGTCAGACCACTTGTGAAAAGCATAAAAGTTGGTACACAATGCTCCTAATGCCCAGATCAGTCTCGCCTGATGTTTTGTCCGATTCTGCCACTCCACTTATGGTCAGTGGTGGGTAAGTTGTTGGAGGTGATTCTAAAAGATAGGATTTACATGCATTTGATGAGGTTAGGACTGATTTAAGAATAGATAGTATGGTTTTGTGCGAGGGAAATCATGTCTCTCAAACTTGATTGAGCTTTTTGAGGGGGTAACCAAAAAGATTGATGAGAGCAGAGTGGTAGACATTGTTTCTGTGGACTTTAAAAATACCGATGGCAAGTTTCCACATGGTGGACTAATCAGTAAAGTTGTATCACATGAGATTCAGGGAGAGTTTGCCAATTTGATACAAAATTGGTTTGACGGTAGGAGACAAGGGGTGGTGGTTGAGTGTTGCTTTTGGACTGGAGGCCTGTGATGAGCGGTGTTCCACAGGGAACAGTACTGGAGCCACTTTTGTTTGTCATTTATATAAACGATTTGGATGCGAATTTAGGAGTCATGGTTAGTAAGTGTGCGGATGATACCAAAATTGGCCATATAGTGGGCAGTGAAGAAAATTATCTAAGATTGCAAAGATATCTTGATCAATTGCATCAATGGGCTGAGGAGAGACAGATGGAGTTTAATTTGGATAAATGTGAGGTATTGCGTTTTGGCAAACAAGGCAGGACTTATACAATTAATGGTAGGGCCTTACATAATGTTGCAGAACAGAGAGACCTTGGGGTTCAGGTACATAATTCTTCGAACATTGCGTCACATTTAGACAGGGTTATTAAGAAGACATTTAGTATGCTTCCCTTCATTGCTGAGTAAAGGAGTTGGGATGTCATGTTGAGGTTATACAGGATGTTTATGAGGCCTCTTCTGGAGTACTGTGTACAGTTCTGGTTGCCTTGCTGTAGGAAGGATATTATTAAACGGTAGAGGGTTCAGAAAAGATTTACCAAGATGTTGCCAGAAATGGAAGGTTTGAGTTATAAAGATAGGCTGGAAAGACTGGGACTTTTTTCACAAGAGTGTAGGAGGTCGAGTGGTGTCCTTATAGAGGTTTATAAAATCATGAGGAGCATAGATAAGATGAATAGGTTCCCCTAGGGTGGGCAAGTTCAAAACTAGGGGACATAGTTTTATTAAGATGAGAAGAGAAAGTTTTGAAAAGGAAATGAGGGGCAACTTCTTTATACCAAGAGTGGTTCACATGTGGAATAAACTGCCAGAGGAAGTGGTGGATGCAGGTGCAGTTACAACATTAAAAAGACATTTCGGTAAGTACATGATTAGGCAAAGTTTGGAGAGATATGGCCCAAACACAGGCAAGTGGGACTAGTTTGGTTTGGGAACATAGTTGGCGATGTCTAGTTGGACCAAAGGGTTTGTTTCTATGCTATATGACTCCGAGTCTGTGACCCTATAAAATTCTAACTGTAAAAGTTGAAGTTTTTGACAGTGTATCTGAGGTCCAGCAATCTGCTTCAGATGGAGTTTCTGTTACCTTGACATCCTTCCTATTCATCTTTCTAACTATAACCTAATTAACTGCCAGTGCTGAGGGCAAGGTTACAACAAAGATATTTGGAACAATGTATAGTCTTGGTAATGAGTTGGCCATGCCATACATTTTTTTTTCAACTGATAAATGCCATTGGTGCTACCAACTCTTTTTCTATCTAAAACTTCCATCCTAATTTGTTCATCTGTACAAACTCTGGCATTGAAATCACTGAGAATGATGAGTGTGTCTGACTTTGAAATTGCTGGAATCAAGTATTATAGCTTCTCAAAAAATTTATCTTTTATTTCTTCAGAATTTATCATTATAGGTGCATAAACGTTGACATTGGTGGCATGACTTGCCCTGCAAGGGAAAGAGAGTTTGTGAGTTGTTTGTTTACGCCTTTAGGGAGACTGTCAAATTTGGGACTAGACTGAATCTAATCAAACTCTGTTCCTGCTCACAGTGCTGACACAACTTTGACCACTGTATACAAGAACGTATATGTAGCTTTATTGTCTATAATTTGTCCTTCATCAACTAGACAAGCCTTGTTTAATGCTACTATGTAAATATTGTATCTAGCAAGTTCTCTTTCCAACAAGGGAACCTTATACTGTAAAGAGGAAGCATGCATAAAATTTTACTTTAACATTGAAAGGTTTTTATTTTAGTTTAAACCTATTCTAAATTTAATATCTAAATGTTTTAATATTTATTTTACAGCACAAAATAAAATATTCTTATAAAGTCAGCCACTGCAAGCAATAAATATACGTATTTGTTTAGGTGGACCATTGAGAGGGAATAGTGTGATGACTAAAAGTCTAAAGCTGTTTGACCTTATAATGGATCAACGACGACTGCATTCTCAGGTGAGTAATGTATGAAATATTTTAAGTATGTTGATATTGTCAATGTTTAGAAAAGCATGTTAGCATTTATTGATATGTCCAGAATATGAAGTGTTACAGTATAATCTTCATTTCAACTAACTGAAAAATAACAGGTTTTTTTTAAGATTATTTAAGAATAGTATGGCTATTCTTTCCTTCTGTTTCCTGTACTATATGAAGCAACCTCCTGGAAGACAATTGAGCATTTCAAAACCATTAAATCTCAAATTCTTCAATCACTCTGCTTTCATTGATATTTCACACATTCTTCAAATGAGGTGAGATATAAAAAATATTCACGTTTGTCCCCCTTCTGAAATATCCTCATATTCAGATCCTGAATAGAGGAGAGAGGTCACTTTCTGCATCAAGATGGTACAAATATAACTTGAGTTGTTTCAATACCTTAAGTACAAAGGTAGCACCTGACCCAAACTTTGACATACCAGTTATGCATGTAGTTCCTGGCTTTTTCTGCAGTCAAAGAGTTTAGGGTCTCTGAAATTATAGGTGCTGGTGCTGATATGCTCTAGATGTTCTCCTGATGTCTTGCAATAACTCAACCAAAAGAACCTTCTGTATCCCATGCTATAGTACCAAATGGAGGATTTTTAAAAAAGCAAGATGGGAAGGTAATCCTTGATATGTCGGACAAATAGCATTGATTACAGAGGCATAGCAATAGGATTGGACCATTTATTGTCACATTTGTCTCTCCATTTAGTGGCTAATCTGTGACCTAACTCTATATTCTTGCCTTTTTGTCCCATGCCTTAATAACTCTGGGTACCAAAACTGTATCAATCTTAGATTTAAATGAGCAGAAATAACACTTTAACTACCATATCTGTTCCACTTAGCATCTTGAAAATGTTGAGCAAATCCTTAGCCTTCTATAATCCAGTGAATACAAACCTAGTTTGTACAATCTCTGTTTCTAATTTAACTCTTGGAATCTAAGTATCATACTGATAATAAGATGCTCCATTCTCACAAACACAAATCTCTTTGTACTAAGTTGTAATGTCAAGAACTGCTCATAGTATTCAAGGAATGATCTGACTAAGACTTTGTATACCCGAAGCATGACTTGTATTGCTTCTATTTGTCTTTTTTAGATAGGAGATCAGCATTCTATCAGCATTTCTGATTATTAATGCAGTTGCATATTATATGTTAGTGATCTATTAAGTCATATTATGCATTCTTCACTGAGCCCTGAAATCCATTAGTCTTTTGAAATGGCTGAGTTCCCAGGAAAACATTTCTTGATGGTCAGCTCTGGCTCTTTGATCTCTTTTGTCAATTTCACAATGTCTATTTATACTATTGAGGATTCAGGTACTTGCAGTTTCTGCTATTGAAACTTTAAAGGGCCTGAATGATAGACATTTTTATTGACTTGTAGTAAAGAATTTTTTTAATGAAAGTGGAATCTAAGGAATCACTTTTTAAAAAACTTATGTTTTACACTGCTTATTATCGCAGAGAGATTTATTACTTTCATACCATGTGTATTGGGTGAATTAGCATGTAAGTACTAACACCTGACGTGGGGGCTTATGGGCCAGGGGTGGGAGTGACTTAACCAGCAATTAGAAGCCATGTGAAGTGAGTGGAGAGATAGAAGATGGCCTGGATGGGGCATGGAAATGTTCCATCGGTGAGGGTTAATGGGATAGAAGGCCTTTGTTTTCACTAACTGCGACAGAACCAACAGTGCTGAGGCACCTGGAGCTGCCATTGACCTATTTCCCAGGTTGGCTTACCCAAATGCAATCTGTAATTACCACTTCCCCAACCATACACACAACCCTGCCCAAAACTCTGACAGCAATGAGCTCCCACACATGGAGCCACTCTCTCCTGAGATGGGCAGACTGAGCCAGGATTTTTTTCCAACTGCCACTTTCCACATTTTTCCACATGAGGCAGTTTAATCTCCTTGTGAGTGCATTATTTATCCTTTACACTATTGTCTTGGTCCCAGTCCAGCTCTGTTGGAGCTTCTTCCAGTGGTACAATTCCTATTTGTCACAACACAAGTGCCGGTGCTTGGTCTGATAGAACCCCTTTTTTCCCATACCACTCCTTTAGCTTTTGTTAGTTTACACATGATGTGGGTAATAATACAGAAATTATAACATTTGAAATCCTGTTATTTAGTTTTACAGCAAGTTCCTGGGTCTTTCCAAAGAGGACAAGCATTAGGTCACCTGTACTGTATTTTGGTAGGACAAATCAGAGCAGAACTTATACACTTAATGGTAAGGTCCTGGGGAGTGTTGCCAAACAAAAAGACCTTGGGGTGCAAATTCATAGTTCCTTAAAAGTGGAGTTACAGGTAGACAGTGGTGAAGAAGACATTTAGTATGCTTGCCTTTATTGGTCAGTACATTGAGTATAGAAATTGGGAGATCATGCTGCAGCTGTACAGGACATTGGTTAGGCTACTTGGAATACTATATAGAATAGAATAGAATATCCTTTATTGGATAGAATAAAGCAAGAAAATACTTTTTTTGTTTATTAAGTGTATGTTAAATGTGTTCGATGTTTTCAAAAATATGGCATCATTACAATATTGCATGCAAGAACGTTCATCAATTTGAAGAGATTATCACGTTATAATTCTATATTATGTAGGTTTCCATGAAATGTACTCATCCTCTCCAGTATCCAGGATTTTGACAACACCTGATCTACCTTCTGAAGCTGATAATACATGTCCTCCCCAGATGCCTGAATTAAATCTAGCACAAGTGAGAAAACCAAAAGGGATTGCACTCTCCTGGAATATTACAGATGTAAGCCAGACTTCTGCCCCTGTTCACTGTTATCAGTTGTATGCATATCATGAAAATCCCAATTTGAAGTGTCCATCACAATGGAAAATAATTGGAGAAATAAAAGTCCTTCCTCTTCCAATGGTTTGTACATTGACTCAGTTTGTACTTGGAAACAAGTATTATTTTACAGTGAGAGCAAAGGATCTTTATGGACGTTTTGGTCCTTTTTGTGAACCACAAGGTATTTGCTTTCAAGAATCCTAAGTGCAACAGAATAAATTTATATTAACAGACATTATTTGTTGCATTGTAAGTTCAGATTTAAACTGTATCGTTGTAGATATTGACAATTGATTAAGCTAATGACAAAAACTAGTGATGCTTGCTTACTATACCGATAGTTCTAGAAGGATTCATATTTAATTTGAAAGGATCTTAATCTCAACATTAAGAACCAGACTATGGCAATGTTAGTAAATGGGCTGGTGTGTTTAGAAAATGGCTAATGTGGTATTCATTTTTGAATCAGAAGAAATCCAAAATTTAGAAAAGGTTCTTGAGCACAATGCCATGTTTAAAAGGTTCATTTCCGAGTGTGAGCTTGAAATATAGTTTCCAATTCTTAATTAAATATTACCGCAGCTTTGTTTAGCTCATTTCAAAGATCTATGTACAAGTTGAAGAGTACCAAAATATTTGGGAACATCTTCCTCTTTAAAGTTGCAATTTATTAATTCTCTGAGGTTGTGTTTTTGCGACATCCAAGGGTGAAATTCAATGAAAATATTTATATTTTTTCTGTTGATCTCTTTGCCTTGCTTTATCTATAACTATGAGGACACATGATCTGTTCAGCCTTCTGTCAAAAACAGTCTGATCTTCATTAAACATACAAGAATATCCCAGGCATTTTCTCTTTCCATTTAAAGGTTTCCCACAGCCCTTCCAACAAAAGTCCATAGTCTGTTTGGTGTGTTTCCATTTTAAAGATTTGCACTTTGGTGGCAACCTTGGCTCAAAATGTATTTTTTGTTCTATTTATCATGTAACGTGTTGGTACTTTCCTATGCTCCTAGTACATTTGAAATTTAAAAGATAATGTGCAAGAAAAGAGAATGCTTGCAACATTAAAGTTAAATGTCATCAGTGGCATTTATAAAAATGCAAACACAATATTGTACTAAAAATTGCTTAGTTGGATTTTGGATATTAAAGTACTGGCATCTGAAGCTGCTAAACATTATTGAGAGGAAATATAGAGGAAATACAGGCTTTGCTTGTTCAGTAGGAAAATAAACATTGAAGAAGTTTAATGTGAATGTCGCTATTTACAATTGATGGATATTAATGACACATATCCATCAAAAAAGCTAGTGAAGTAACTTTCTTAATTTTGTTCAGAAAATGCAAGGAAAGCAATCAGGTAATACTATGTAGCCTTTACCTTTGTAGACATGCTATATTTTTATACTCCATCTCATTTGAGAGAACCTAGAAAATAATGCTTTCAAAAAGCTGCTTATCAACTTTAGCACAGACTGAAATGTTGTTAATATCATTACATCTAAAACCCAGCGTATGATTATTCTGGACAGATTACTTATATGTTTGTATATAGAGGTCTAGAGAAATGGTGAAGAATTCATGAGGCCCATGTCAGGAGCTGGATAGTTTATTATATTGGCTTAGTGTAAGACATGTCAATGTTACCACAGAGCCACTGAGTTGGAAACCAGCCTGTTAAGACATGATCAAAAGTGATTTAGGGACAGCGTTTCTGATTTTAGCTTTTATGGTTGGAATGTAGGCAAAATACTTCCTTTTTTTGTGTAAGAGGAGGGTATTACTCTAGTAAGGAATCAGGGTGATAACTTTTTTCAGTCATGAAAAATGAGATAATTGAACATTTTTGCCTTCCATAACACAACTGAATCTAGAACTGTAGAAATTTGTTGATCTGAAGTCTGTTACCTTTTAATAAAACTAAGTTGTTCATCAAACATTGCATGAATTGTATAATTTTAGGAGTTGCTTGCAGAACACAAGAATGCTGATTGCTTTAATTTGTTTTACAAATGTCATTCCAATTCTTATCAACTTTCAGTCGAAGTTGTATTTTGTCACCTGCGTGCAGCACAGAAGCACCAAGGGATCATGAAACGTGTTCCAAACAACCGTTCAGAATCAAAAGCTTCTAGTGTAGGTAAAATATAGTTAAAATTGTGTTTTCCATTGCAACTCATATGTTATAATGTTCCTTATAAAATGTGTCACACAGTTCCCCAGGTTACTATAACCTAAGAAAGAAAATAAATGGTAACTCAAGGCCCAAGAGTGTTCATTTAGCCATGATGTGTTTAATTGCCAGTGTGTTATAATCACTCTGAGGCCAAATGGGAACTTTAAGGCTGCTTATTTGACTGTACTTTGGGATACACCTAAAGACATAGCATGTTACTTAACAATTGTAAAACAATATATTAGACCATTTTTGTTTTGTACAAATACAGCGGTGTTTAGATCCAAATTTTATTTTGAGCCAAAGAACTGATTAAACATTTTCAATTTTATTTAACTATTCTGTTTATACTCTGTTTAACATAACGTAGGCAACATGCTCAAGAATTCCTTGTATTTTAAGTCTTCCTAAAACGTTTATTCCAGTATTAAAAAACACATTAACAAAGTGAATTTGTGTTTTTCACTTGTATAGCTTAGTCCGTGAATAAAGTAATATGTTATATGAAAGTTAGAGGACTTATTCCATTATTTTTCTATAGCATTGGTAATGTCTGCATTGCACGTTTATTTTACTCATTTATGATTTTACAAATGTGGAAGACTATGGGTGATAAGAACAATCACTAATCCAACTCATCCTGCTCAGACAATCAGCTCATTCCGGCTATCTATCTAGTAAACCTCCTTTGAACCACTTTCAATGCATTTGTATCCTTTCTTGAATAGAGACCAAAACTGTGCACAGTATTCAAGATGTGGTCTCACAAAAGCACTGTATAACTGAAGCATGACTTCCTTACTTCTACTTCCAATTCTTCTGTAATAAAGGATAGCATGCCATTGGCCTTCTTGATTACATACTATATCTGTCTCTGGTTAGCATGAGTGCAACATTTCTGACCTAGGCATGCTGTAATATTCCAATGCAAGTTTGAAGAATACCTTATTTTCAACTTAAGCATTTTACAGCCTCTAGGTCTCAATATTCAATTCCACAACGTCACAGCCTGTTAGAATCCCTGCAGTGCAGAAGGAGACCATTCAGCCCATCGAGTCTGCACAACTCTCCATAGGCCATCCCACCCAAGACCCAGGCCTAGCCCCATAACCCTGCATTTACCATGGCTAATCCACCTAGCCAGCACATCCCCAGACACTATGGGTAAATTAGCATAGCCAATCCACATAACCTGCACATCTTTAGACTGCAGGAGGAAACAAGAACACCTGGTGGAAACCCATGCAGACATTGGGAGAATGTGCAAACTCTACACAGACAGTCGCTCAAGGTTAGAATTAAACCTGAGCCCCTAGCACTATAAGGCAGCAGAGCTAACCACTGAGCCACCATGCAGCCCATTGTTCTCCACTGTTCTTACGTTCTCTCCCACTCAGCATCATTTTTGTCTTTTTTACTTCACTCCCAGTAGAAAGGATTCCCTCCCTTTCATACATTAATTTACAATCCATTTATATCCCTTTCCTCACCATTAATAACCCCTTTGTCTTTGCAGTGGACCTCCACGTCAACCGTTTCCTTCACTGCTCCTCCACCTCTGTCATAAGAATAAAGAAAATTCCAACCCCTGGTCATTTTAATTTCAGTAAAGGACTCAAAATGTTACCTCTGTTTCTCTCTCTCTCCCCAGATGCTTCCAGACCTCCTGCGTTTCTCCAGCATTTTCTGTTTGTTTTAGATCTCCACCATCCTTAGTATTTTGTTTATATTTGAATGTCACTCCACACCCACACCTAGCGCATGAATGAATAAATGATGATTCAGTGATCATAAATTGTAGAAACCCTTCAGTGTGGAAACAGACCCTTCAAGTCCTCACTGACCCCTCCAAAGAGCATCCCACCCAGACCCACTCCCCTACCTTATCCCTGTAACCCTGCATTTCCCTAGGCCAATCCACCTAACCTGCACATCTTTGGACTGTAGGAAGAAACACACGCAGACAGGGGGAAAATGTGCAAACTCCACACAGTCGCCCAAGGGTCGAATCAAATGAGCTTCCCCGTGCTGTGAGGCAGCAGTGCTAACCACTGAGCCACCGTGCTTTCCTGGTGCTTCCTTACATCTCTGGATGCAAAGGTTCCAACTTTTCAAGGGAGCATACTGCAATTCAAGGCTCGGAACTGTACAACTGGCAGTTCAGTTCTCCAGTCCTCCCTCATAATGGTCTGTCAAAAGAAGGTGCATAAAGAGTTAAAAACCAAAAGAACTGCAGAAAATTCTGTTTTTGTTTCTGCATAAAGAGTTGCCTTCCTCGAGTTAGATCCTGTTCCATAGAATACTGGAGTATTTTGTTGCAATTTAGCAGTTTATATGAACTTGGGAACATTGAAGGCTAATCAATGACAGAAGGGTCAAAAGGAGGCGCCTAAGGATTGCACCCAAGCTATTGCCTAGCCTGAGAGACTTCACTGCACAACACTTGGATATTGTAAGCTTTAACAATTACCTAACCTTGATGAGATGCAATGCTTGTGCCTTGTCTCACTGCTGTTTATTTTCCTGAATGGTGACTAGGACCTGTAATAGGTAGGTACTTAAAAGTGAGATCACCCAAAGATAATAAGTGTACATTCAGTTGAATAGTAGATCATTTATTCAGCAACAAAGAAGATCAAAAGCTGAAAAAATAACTAAATCCATATGTTCTTTGCAGTAAGGAAGGGCTACTTGCAAAAGACCAAAGGAATGTCACACAATTAATGGAAGTCCAAAGCCAGTTCACTCATACTTGGAATGGATTTCAATGATGTCTTTCTAGCATCTTGCACTTGACGACACATTACTCTTTCACATCCTTGAGGTTGTCCTTCTCAGTCAATATCCTTATCTTCATCCTCAGAAGGTTGCTGTTGATGCTCAGTTTTGCCTGCATCCAATACGTACACTTTTGCCAGCTCCTGTTATGAAGAGCACTGTGAAGGGTAATATACTTTCTGGGCTATTCTGCAAGGCTCAGCCAGAATAGTCCAAACTTTGAAACCTCATCTGAAGGAGACCTATGGTCTGTTCAACTATGGTCATGGTGGAAGCATAGGCAGCAACATATCTTCATTCTGTATCAGTTTATGGATTTCATTGAGGTGTCATGATCTGTGTTTAGAGAGAAAACAAAGGTTACAAGAGCAGGTCAGAGGCTCGGAATACTTCAGCAAATAACTCCCCTCCTGACTCCCCAAAGCCTGTCCACCATCTACAAGACACAAGTCAGGAGTGTGATCAAATATTCCCCACGTGCCTGGATGAGTGCAATAACACACCAGAAGCTTGACACCATCCAGGACAAAGCATCCACTTGATTGGCACCACATCCACAAGCATCCACTCCTTCCACCAACACTCAGTAACAGCAATGTGTCCCGTCTATAAGATGCACTGCAGAAATTCCTCCGACAGCAGCTTCCAGACCCATAATCACTAGAAGGACAAGAGCAGTAGACACTAGGAACACCACCACTTCAAGTTCCTCTCCAAGTCACTCACTATCCTGACTTGGAAATATATCACTGTCAATGTTACTGTCACTGAGTCAAAATCCTGGAATTCTCTTCCTAACGACATTGTGAGTCAGCCCACAGTACATGGACTGCAGTCGTTCAAGAAGGCAGCTGACCACCACCTTCTCCAGGGCAACTAGGGATGGGCAATAAATGCTGACCCATTCAGCAATGCCCATGTCCCACAAGTGAAAAATCACCTCTGTATTACCTTATTGTTATGGGGAGACAATTTCACAATAAAGTTGTTCTGATATGAACTGCACACAACTCTCATGTCTCTCAAGGACACCCAGTACTCCCTTTGTCTTATGCTATGGATACCCTCATCATATGTTCCACTTACTGCTCATCCCCTTTGGTAAACAGCATAAAAGTCATAGAGTTCCAGATTCTTTTTGTTTTGAAGAGTCAAATCAGACTTGAAATGTTAATTATGTTTCTCCACAGGTGCTGCCAGACATGCTGTGTCCCTCCAGCAATTTTCTGTTTTTATTTCAGATTTTCAGCACCCAGAGTATTTTGCTTTTCACAGGGCAGTCGAAGAGCCAATCACATCTCTGTGGACCTGGAGTAACATGTCATCCTTACCTGATCTGGTCTACAGTCTTCTTCAGGGATGGAAACTATTAGTGAATTTGATGTGTATCTGTGACAAACACCAGTAGTCCCATGATCCACATTACTAAGACTTGCTTGCAATTCCTGATTCTATGGTGTTTAAATTCCACCAGCTGCTGACATCAAAATCCATTTCTAATTTTTAGAGGCTATCTTGTTGGTTTTCAGGGGCTCCTTTTCCATTCCCATCAACTAATTTATTAGATAGCGCAGTCATACCTTCTGTATTTATGTTGACACTTAGGTGGTGTTTGAATCCTCATAGAAGCAGAATTAGAAGAATTCATCAATATCCTCAACTATCAACCTTCCATTACTTAGATTAACAAACTTAGTCACAAAACACAAGGAAAATAAATAATCACCTAGACACCACAATATTCAAATTGACTCCAATACACATACTGATGAGGTCACAGCTAATGTGTTTCTATCATATAAATGCAAAGATTTCAACCAGACAGTTACTACCCTTTCTACAGCATCTCAGATGTAAATTTAACAATTGACAGTGTGGATTACAATAGCATACATAATGTTTTTCCCCATATTGTAGCTCCTAATCTTAAGCATCCTTAAACTAGAGAATCCATATTACTTTACAAGGAATTAATTACCTGGTGCTATCATGTTTTCCTGGCTTTTAGTTAGTGGAGTATTATTTTGTTGACAGGTTTAAAACTGTTCTTGTTTTTTCATACACTCCCTTTCCACTCTCCCAATTACAGTCTTCTCTCTGCATCTCTTCAACTCTCCTTTTGCAGCCTCCTGTCTTACTCATCTTACATCCTGTTTCCATTCTCCACAGTCCTCTTGCAGCCACCACCTCCTTTCCTGACTTCTTTTCATAGCAATGTCCCTCCTGCAATCCCATTTGCAGCCACTTTCTTGCAAACCCCCAAAAAGGCACAGCCTCTGACCTCTGGAAAAAGGCAGGGGGCCTGGCAAAGGCATAGCCCCAGCAAATGGCACAGCCCACAGCCTCTGGCAAAAATGATTGGAGGACCTACTACTCGGAGGGTCTGTCCATTCTATCTACAGGGTGGATGATGTTTCTCCAATTGGTTGAATTTTCTCAGGTATTTTGTTGACTTGTGGAAGTAAAGTTGCCTGTTATGGACCAGACCAAATGCCTAAAAATATTCAGAAGATAGTCTAGACCCCAAGATTTTCTTATTTTAAATGTTAATGTAAGGTGTTGCATTCCAAGTGCAATTTGATAGATCAACCTATCGGATTTAAAGC